TATTTAACTTTGGCACATAACTTTATATTTTGTAATGTTCAAAGAAGTACTTTGAGTAATTTGAGGAATTAATAGATTTTGGGGGAGAAAATAAATTCAGATCTTTTCAATGCTATAATATTATGTGAATACTCATAGATTGGTGAAATTAGGGAGGAGACAGATCATGGTTTTTAAGCCAAAATGAGTGAATTAACTTGTCTGAGATGTCTTCCTGATAAGAAATACTACATGAGCTTTTCTTCTATAGTACATATTAAAATAGCATATTAAAATCCTTGCTTAAAAGTGATATTTTTTGCTTAGAACCTATCAACCATGGTCATTAATTAAATTATAAGCTAACATCCTTTTTCCCTCTTAGAGTCTTAAGAAAAAAATATCTTAAAGAGCTAGTGTATTTAAACCATAAGAAATAATTTCCTTCTAGAAATCTTTTGAGTTACTCTCATTTTAATAATTATTTTATATTAAAGATCTAATTGGTTGTATTAAATAATTCATGAGTCAGGCAGTATCCCATATAACGAGTAGATAGGTGTACCTCATTTTAAACTTATTTAATATACATACTTTTATATTTTTCATAAGCCAGAACAGAAACACATTACATTAGATTTTTATATACAGCTTTACTGAGATATAATTCACATACTATGTAGTTCATTGTGAAATGGATACAATTCTACAGTTTCTAATACATTGACAGGTGGGTACAAACCTTGAAATCAGTCAATTTTTTAATATCTTTATCTCAAAAACAATTAGTATCCTGCAGTATTCCCCTCCTCTATAACTAAACAATCACAAATCTATTTTCTCTCTAGATTTCTGTCTTCTGGACTTGCATATGAATGAAATCATATAGTATGAGAGTGTACATAATATTTTCAAATTTCTGCCATCTTGTAGCATGTATCAGTATTCCATTTTTCCTATGGTTGAAGACTTTCATGTTACAATTATACTATATTTTTTAATATTAATTTGATAGGAATTTGGGTTGTTTCCACCTTTTGGCTATTATAAATAATGCCAATATAAACATTTCTGTACAAGTTTCTGTGTGGACATAAGTTTTCATTTTTCTTACATTAATACCTAGGAAATGGAACTGAGTCATATAGTTACTATATTTAATCTTTTGAGAACTTGGAGGCTGTTTGCCAATGCAGATGCCTATTTCAAGTTCCACCAGCAGTGCCTAAGAGTTCCAATATCTGACTCTTTGATTCTTGCCATCCTAGTTGGTATAAATCCGCATCTCATTGTTTTTATTTATTTGCATTTCCCTGATGGCTAGTGATATTGAGTATCTTTTCATGTGCTTATTGGCCATTTGCATATCTTTATTTGCATATCTTTAGAGAAAGATTTATTCAGATCTTTTGCTTAATATTTAATTGGGTTATCTTACTGAGTTGTAAGAAGTCTTTATATATTCTGGATATACATGCTTCATCAAATAAATAATTTGCAAGTATTTGCTCTGTTCTCCAGGTTGCCTGTGCACTTTCTTGATAATGTCCTTCTAAGCACAATGTTTTTAATTTAAATAAAGTCCAATTTTTTATTTTGCTGCTTTTACCTATGGTTTCATGTCTAAGAATTCTATGCCCAATTCAAGTTTGTGAAGATTTACTCATCATACCTTAAAACTATTTTAGTTTTAGGGCTCCCTGTGGCACAGGAGGTTGAGCACCGCACTGTGAAGCTGTTCTCAGCCTCTGCAGTGTGGGTTTGATCCCGGCTGGCTGGCGAGAATCCCACATGGTGCTGCGGACCACTCCTGTCTCGCCCGCTGCTCCCCTCAGCAGTGTATTTCTCAGTCTGCCTGTTCTGTTCCCCACTCTGTCTCTGGTGAATCCTTTCACCCTCCTGCACATCTGGCCTATACCCCAGCACTTGTATAAATAAAATAAATCTTTAAAAAAAGTATTACAGTTTTAGCTCTTAGATATATGTCTTTGATATACTTTGAGTTAATTTTTGTATATGTTCTCAAGACTCCAACATAATTCTTTGAGCCTCTGAAAGTAAGGCTCCAACATCATTCTTTGTCTTGTAACTATCCAATTGCCTGATACCTATTTGTTGAAAAGACTTTTCCCCTATTGATTAGTCTTGGCATCATTGTTGAAAGTCTGTTGACAATCCATAGATATGTGATTTATTACTGAATTCTGAATTTAATTCTGATCTCTAAATAGCAATCTGTTTTCCAGGACTACACTATCTTGATTATTGTTGCTTTAAGATTAAGTTTTGAAATTAGGAAGTGTGAGTTCTTTTTTTTTTTTTTTTTAGTTTATTCTGGGTCTCTTGCAATCCATATAAATTTTGGAGTCAGTATCAACTTCTACAAAGATGTCAGTTGGCATTCTGATAAAGAATGTATTGAATCTGTCTCTCAAGTTGGGAATACTGCCTTCTTAACAATAAGTCTATTGGTCCATGAATAGGGATGTTTCCCCATTTATGCAGATCTTTATTTTCTTTCAACAATATTTTCAGAGTATGTTTCTGCTGCTTTTGTTAAGCTTACTTGTATTTTGTTTCATTCCTTTTTATTCCTTTTGATGCTGTTATGAATGGAATCGTTTTTAAAGTTTTATTTTTGGATTGTTTGCTGCAAGTGCATTGAAATACAATTGATATTTGAATAATGATCTTATATCCTGCAGTGTAGCTGAATTTGTTTCAGTAGCTTCTTAGTAGATTTTTTTAAGATTTTGTAAGTGTAGATCATATCATTTGTAAATAGAGGTAGTTTTATTTCTTCCTTCCCAGTCTAGTTGCTTTTTATTTCTTGCCTAATTGATCTGGCTACAAACTTCAGGACAACGATGTGGCATTAGCAGACTACCTTGTTTTAATCTTATTTGGAAAGCATCTAGTCTTTCACCACTTAGTATGTTGTTACCTGAGGGTTTTTCATAGATGCCCTTTATCAAGTTGAGGAAATGTCCTTCTGTTTCTAGCTTGTTAGGTATTTTTATCATGAAAAGGTGTTGGATTTTGTCAAATGTTTTTTTTTATTTTTTTTGCATACGTTGAGGTGATCATATAAATTTTAAAATTGATATGACTTAATAACATTAATTGGTTTTCAGATATTAACAACACTTGTATCTCTGGTATAGAGATCACTTGGTCATATATAATTCTATATAGATATGTTGCTGGATTTGGCTTACTAGTATTTTGTTAACTTTTTTCCTCTGTAATTTTCTTTTCTTTTTTTTTTTAAAGGTTATTTATACAAGAACTGGGGTACAGGTCAGAGGTGTGGGAGGGTGAGAGAATTCATCAAAGAGAGTGGGGATCAGAACAGGCAGACGGACTGATGACACTGCTGAGGGGAGCAGCGGGAAAGGCAGGAGAGGTCTGCTGCGCCATGTGGGTTTCTCCTGGTGGGCCAGCAATTGAACACATGCTGCAGAGGCTGCGGACAACTTCACAGTGCAGCACAGCGCTCAACCCTCTGTGCCACCGGGGAGGACCTCCTCTGTAGTTTTCTTATGTTTTTGCATAGTTTTGGTATCAGGGTAATTCTAGCTTCATAAAATGAATTGTGAAGTGCTCTTTTATTTTTAGGAAAAGTTGTAAAGAATTTGTATTGGGAATTGGGAAGTGCTCTTTTATTTTTAGGAAAAGTTGTAAAGAATTTGTATACTTTGTTTTTTTTTTTTTTAAGATTTATTTATTTATGCAAACAAGAACTGGGGTACAGGCCAGAGGTGTGGGAGGTGAACAGATTCTCCAGAGACAGAGTGGGAAACAGAGCAGGCGGATTGACTGAAATACACTGCTGAGGGAAGCAGCAGGCGAGACAGGAAAGGTCTGCTGTACCATGTGGGTAGCTCCCTGCCCAGGGATTGACCTCATTTTGCAGTGTTTGCGGATAGCTTCATAGTGCTGCCTCCTAACCCCTTGTGTCACCAAGGAGGCCCCCAAAATTTGTATTCTTTGAATGCTTGATAAATTCTGTAGTGAAATCATCTAGAGCTGGACTTTTCTTTCTGGATAGTTGATTATTAATTCATTCTCTTACAGGTTTTTTGGAGTTTGTTTATTTTTTCTTGAATCAATTTTGTTAATTTGTCTATTTCTAGGAATGTCTCCATTTCATATATGCTATCTAACTTTTTGGCATGTAATGTTATAAGTATGGTTATATAAATTCTTTTATTTCTTTTGACTGTTTTGGTAGAACCTAAGGGGAAAGTGGAAACTCCAAAAAATAAGCTATTACAGAATATGGAGAAGTTTGCATGCACTTTAGTTATTTTGCATACAGATTGATTTCTCGCCCATGATAAAAGTAGACTGATGGACTGAATTAAGAAATTAAGTTAAAACATAGGTCTTAGAAGAAACATGAGAGTAGAAAGAAAATTATTCAGTCTAGGAATAATGTAACTTGTTTGCATATAGTTGAGTTAAACTAATGGGCAGGTGTCAACGGCATGAACCCTGGTCTCTCTGAACACCCTTATTGTTCCTTAGGTCGACTAGGGATACTGAAGAATGAAATTTGAGTGGTTATTTTTTCAAAAAAATAACAGAGTAACAGTGTAGTATACATCTTAAGTTGCCTGTAGGTAATTTAGTGTCTCCCGGTGTCCTTATGCCATCACTTCTATCTTAGTATAGATCTGCTCCATTCCTTACCAGACTTTTTCAAGTCCAAACTCTTGGTAGACCTTAGAATCAAATTTATTTTTTGGACTAATTATGAGCCCTAGGACCTGAAGAGGGATGTCTGATTTTTGTTGTTGCCAATGTTATATTGCTTATGCACCTGTGCATTGATTGTGGAAGAAATATTTTGAGGAAATGTAAACAATTATAAACTTTTCATTTTCATAGATGTACAGGAAGTTCAAAGGAGCAAGATGGTACAAATATTGTACAAAATGTTCATCTAAAGTCTCAGACAAATGACCATACATGCAAGACAATAGCAGAGTCTAATTTGAATTCTGGAGAGCCTGAGACTTCAGTTTTTGAAAGAAGGTATGCATGTGTTCTGAGGATAACAGGACTTACTGTATTAGTTACCCATTATTATGTAACAAATTACTTCAAAGCTTGATTTTAATTTTGTTAGTGGCTTGCATCCACTTTCTGTTTCACAGTTTCTGTGGATCAGAAATCTGGGAAAGACTTTTGTGCTAATTCTGCCTTGGGGAATTTCTTGAAGTGTAAGAATCAAATTGCTGTTTGGTTTGCAATCCTTTGAAGGCTTGACTGGATTCGTAGCATCCACTTATAAGGTTGTTTGCTCATATGGCTGTTGGCTAGAGACCCCTGTTCTTTGTCATGTGGCTCTTTCCATGGGATTGTATGGTGTGGCAGCTGATTTCCTACATTACACATGTGATTCAACAGAAAGTGTGACTACACTGGAGTTTCTGATATCTTTTAAAGATCTAGCTTCTAAAGTTGCTTACTGCCACATCTACATTATTCTGTTTATTAGAAACACGTCACTAAGTCTAAGCCACAATTATGGAGAAGGGAGTTAGCTTTTACCTCTTGAAAATAGGAGTGTTTAAGAAATTAAGGGTATGTGTTTAAAGTGAGCACACTCAGTGAGTAAACCAAATTAACCTACTCTTATAATATCTGAAGTCATACACCCTTTTTTTAAAATGAAGGAATGGTACATTATAGCAGATTCCCAGGCATTTACAAACTGGCTAAAATTTCTTTACTATTTGTGATTTGTGACTTCTGACTTGTCCAGGTTTCATAGTAGACAGAAAGGGATCTAGGTCTGGGAGAACTGAATCATCTCTGAACTTTTTTTTTTTTTTTAAGATTTGTTTTATTTATGCATACAAGAACTGGGGTATAGGCCAGAGGTGCCGAGGGCAGGGGTAGTGAGAGGATTCACCAGAGACAGAGTGGGGAGCAGAACAGACAGACTGAGTGAAATATACTGCTGAGAGGAGCAGTGGTCGAGTCAGGAGAGGTCTGCTGTGCCATGTGGGTTGCTCCCTGGCCAGGGATTGACCTTGTGCTGCAGTGACTGCTGATAGCTGTATAGGTTTTGCCTTAACCCCTTGTGTCACCAGGGAGACCCCTCTGAACAATTTTTGGACTACATTTAAAATAGATGTTTTTGTCCTTAAGTTATATTTGTTTTTTTTTTTAATTTGAAGAAAACTGATTTGTTTCTAATTTGATTTTTAATCAAAGAATGTTATTTGAGTTGACTTAAATTCATAACTGATCCATGAGTTAATTTAAAAGGCTATAAAATTCAGTATTTATCATGTTTGATAGTCCATTGTGGAATTTAATTTTAGGTTCTTTGTTTTATGCAGCAAGTAAGTGTATTCTTGGTGAACTATAATATCACTGTTTATAAGAAAGAAAACTTTGGTAGTCTTAGGAGAAAAGTGACCAACACATAAGATAGATTCTTTAGATATATGTATTATAAAGGCATGCATTTTATGTTTTACTCTTTCTTTTCCCCTTAAGTGGACCTTCCATGGTCAAGAATGTTTTAATAACTGAAAAGAATAATTCTGATGTAGATGATAAGGAAGTTCAGGAAAATCCAGGTAAGTTACTATTTTTTTTAAGATTTATTCATTTATGCATACAAGAGCTGGGGTATAGGCCAGAGATGCAGGGGGTGAAAGAATTCACCAGAGGCAGAGTGGGGAACAGAACAGTCAGACTGACTGAAATACACTGCTGAGGGGAACAGCGGGCAAGACAGGAGAGGTCTATTTTTGCTATGTGGGTTCCTCTCTGGCCGGCCAGGGATGAACTCGTGCTGCAGAGGCTGGATTGCTTCATAGTGCGGTGTCTAACCCCTTGCGCCACCAGAAAGGCCCAGTTACTATTTTTTCCCCTGTGTTCTTTATTTTTATGGCATAAGGTGTGCTGTTTTATTTAATATATCACCTGTTGCAGATCTGTATTGAGTACTACTTTTAGAAGCCTTGTTATATGGCTGGAGATTTGTAATAATTTCTCCCTAGCTGAGAGAGGGAGGGAAGGAAAAGAGAAAGAATGAGAGAAGAGTGACAGTCCTTTCTTCGAAGTAGAACATAGTGAAATAATTTTGCATTTATTATGTTAAGTATTGAAAAGTGTTAAATTGATAAAAGGTATAAATGAAGCAAGATTAATGATGTATTTATGATTACTGAAGCTGAGTGATGGCTAGATCAGTTTCATTATTCTATTTTTTCTACCTTGATATTTGAAAGTCACCGTAATAGGTTGTTAAAATATCTCTTAATGGAGAGTTTTATAACTGTTTTATGCCCCCAAAGAATGTGTTCTTGTAATGTAATTTGTTGTACTATTTTTTCTCCTGAATTTGCCAGTTTTTTTTTCCTTTTACAATCTTTTTTTCTTGTATTTAGATTTATTATTTGAGTTAGATCTTGTATTTAGTATTTAGGTTGTATTAGATCTATCATTTTCTTGTATTTAGATTCTTGCATTTAGATTTTCTCGTGTTAAGGTTTATTAGATGTATTTCTTGTATTTAGATTTATTTAGATCCATGTTATTGCTTTTTATATTTATCTCTCTACATTTTAAACTTGGCAAAGAAAAAGCAGTGAATTATCCTGAATATACTTTTGGCTCAATTTTATAATTTTTTTTTTATTTCTTTTTTGTAGTGTGCTCTTAATTATAGTGGTGATTTTCTTTCACCGAGGAGTTATTTAAAATAGTATTTTATCCAAGATCTTGACTCCACAGTGAAGGACCTGGGATTGAATCTAACTATATCACTTACTAGCTTCATTATCTTAAGAAATTTCAAGATTTTTGGCTTCAGCTTCTTTGTATAAAGTTGTTTTCAGTTCCAATCCCTTAGATGGATATAAAGATGAATGTATACACCCTGCTTAGTTTTACACCTGGTTTATGTTAAATACTCTTGTTGACTGTAAGTCTAAGAAGTTATATTTTATTTTGTCTTTGTTAGTAATTTCCAACTTCATTTTATATTTCTAGAGAACTTTAGCCTACATTATTATTTGAATTTATTAAAGGTTTTTTCCTTAGTGTTCTAGAGTACACTCAGAATATATAAAAATCATGGAAAATCTTCCATGGGTGCTTGAGAAAGAGAATATTTTTTAATAATATTATTTTACCTATAAACATTGGTTTATAGGTAACCAATTTAATTGAGGGTAACATTGTTTATGATTTAGAGGTACAGAATCACCCTTTAGGTATATGTTACACCACATGCATAACCAAGGTACTGAAAGTCCTCCACCCTAGTCCATTGTGCCCCATCCCACTTTGTTCTTCTCCCTCTCCCTCCTACTCTGATATCCTCAGTTGTTCAATTCGATTTCTAGGATTTGTTATTGGTTTGATTTTACTGACCCATTGTTCTATTTCTCCTCATTCCTTATTGTGTTTGTCTTTCTCCTTCTGTATTAATTCATTTAACATATGCCTTTCAGTTCCATCCAGGTGGTCACAAATGGCAAGTTTATCGTTATAGTTAAGTAGTATTCCATTGTGTGTATATACACCACATCTTCCTGATCCATTCCTTCTGGTTTGGGGCACTTAGATTGTTTCTATAACTTGACTATTATAAATAGTGCTGCAGTGAATATAGGAGTGCCTACTGCTCTTCAAATTAGTGTTTTGTATTCTTTGTATAGATACCTATGAGAATTGTTGTTTCATATGGTAGATCCATTTTTAATATTTTGAGAAACCTTCGTACAATTTTACATGGGGTCTACACCAGTCTACATTCCCACTAACAGAGTCGTCCTTTTTCTTCACATCCTCACCAACGCTTATTTTTTTTAGTCTTTTGATATGGACCATTCTCACAGGTGTGAGGTGATATCTCATTGTGGTTTTGATTTGTGTTTCCCTGATGTTACGTAAGTGATGATGAGCAATGTCATGTGCTTATTGGCAAATTTCTATGTCTTCTTTGGAGAAGTGTCTTTTTAGCTCTTTCACCCACTGTTTGGGTGCATTAATTGTTTACTTTTTGTTCTGTTGTATGGGTGCTTTCTAGATCTTGGATAGCAACACCTTGTGAGATGTATGGTCTACCATTCAGTTAGGTGCCTTTTTGTTTTTGTGACACTTTCTTTTACTATATAGAAGCTTTTTAGTTTGATGTTGTCCCAATTGTTTATATTCTTATTTATGTTCCTTGCTGTTGGAGATGAATCCACCAGACATCTCATAGCCTGCATTGTGGAGTGTTTTGCCTGTTTTTCTTCTGTGTATTTTATGATTTCAGGTCTTACATCCAAGTCTTTTGTTCATTTTGAATTAATCTTTGTGTATGATATGAGGTAGTTGTCTAGTTTCATTCTTTTGCATGTGGTGGTCCATTTTTCTCAAGCCCATTTATTGAAGAGGCTTTCCTTTCTCTAGTGCAAATTCTTGGACACTTTGTCAGAGGTTAACTGTCCATAGATGTGTAAAGTTTGCTTTTGAGCTCTCAATTCTATGCCATGGCCTGTGTGTTTTTATTCTAGTACTATACTGTCGTGTCTATTCTATCTTTGTAATATAGTTCAAATCCTTCCTCTTTTTTGGTCAGAGTTCTTTTGGATTTGCATATTGCTTTAGGTAAAATGGCCACTTTGACAGTGTTTATTCTTCCAATCCATGATTCAGGAATGTTTTTCCATTTCTTTGTGTTTTCTGCTTCTTTTAACAATTTCATATAGTTTTCACTATATAGGTTATTCACCTCCTTTGTTAGGTTTACTCCAATATTATTCTTTTTATTGCAGTTATAAATGGGATTTTTAATTTTCCCCCTCTTTTAGCTCAGTGTTTGCTTATAGGAAGGCAGATGGTTTTTGTTTATTGATTTTGTAACCTGCTATTTATTTACCCTTAGTGTGACCTGAGGGCTGGTTTGCCCTTTTATGTGTCCCATAAACTCCTTTGGGCAACTGTAGATACTGGCTATGTAGAGGATCAATCCTTAAATCACTTAACAGAGCACAAAGATATGTGAAAATTTTTTCCCTATAGGATCACTATATCCTCTGGGATCCGGTCTCAAGCACCTATGCTAGGTTTCCACTCCTATAGATATTGACCAGAGGGAGCAACTATCCTTTTTTTTTTTCTTTGAAGACAGCGGAGGCTATTCTCATATACTGCTCATTCATATTTTGAGTATACCTTTTATCTTAGCCAATTCAGAGAGAATAATACCTTGTAACAACTGCTAAGCAACAATCCTTCTAACTCTTGCCAGTGAGACTAGATTTCCGCAATGGACACTGGAATTCGCTTCTCTGCTTACAGTTTAGCACACAATTTCCTGCCCACTCCTGGATAAGTTCGATTCTTAAAAAAAAAAAAAAAAAACTTCCAGGACTGTAAACCAAATCTGAAATTGAGGAATACTCACCAGTCAGCAAGTCTGAAGCTCAGAAGAGCTGGATGGACACAAGGGGCTTTTATGCTACCATGGCCAGCCAAGTCAGCTTGATGCTACAGACAGGTTCATGAGAAGTCTCTGGTTCCCTTTGTTGGTCACCACTTGTTGATCTAAATAAACTGGTACATGCAAAATTAAGTGAGTTTATTAAAGAATCATGAGTGATTATTTGAATCCAGGAAACAGTCCTATAGGTGAGAACTGTTTTCGGTATCCTTCATATATATGCTTATTTGCTTTATTTCTTCTCTGTCCTACCAGTTGCCTCCAAGACCCACTGCTATGGGAACATGTTCAAGTGGAGTCTAATCCTTTACATGGTCTAATGAGGATTACATGGAAAATTGGATTTTAGGGGCGGAATTAACAGCTTTATTGAGATGTACTTCATGTATTATACAACTAATCCATTTATAATATATAATTTAACTGCGTGCCTCTATCACCACATTAATTTTAGAGTACTTTCATCACCCCAAAAAAGAAAAAACATACTCGGTGGCAGGCATCTTCCTTTCTGTTCCCCCGACAATACCCATGCCCAGGCATCCACCGATCTCCTTTTGATCTATTTAGACTTACCTATTCTGAATAGAGATATATGATTTTATGATTACTAAATTTTCTCTATATCAGCAACTTTATAAAGTATCTAATGCATTCATTCTTCATCTTTTGCTATTGATATAATGGCTTCATTTGAGAATATAGTAAAGACTCCAACATACTATTTCATGATATGAATATTACATACAAAATTGTATAAAAATTTTAGGTGGTTCTTAGATGTTAAGTGTTAGAGTTACATATCACTGGATAATTAAACACCCAAACCTTAGTGAATTAATGCAATAATTGATTCATCTTAATGTTCTGTGGAGTGACCTGGCTTAGCTGGACATTTTCACCTGGATTCTCAGCATGCCTTTCAAGTGTATGCTGCTGAAGCTGGAGTCATTTGAAAGCCCAAATGGACTGGAAGTCCATGGTGACTCCATTTTTATATATGTCACTCAGCCAGGGTGGCTTAAATACTTGGGGCTGGCCAAGCATCTCTTTTCTTCCACAAGGCTTTAACATATGGTTAACTTGGGTTTCATTATAACATGGCAGTCTTGGGGTAGTCAGTCTTCATTCATGGTGGCCATCTTTCTGTAGTGCAGTGTACTTCTAAGAGATCCAGGTGGAATCTACACATCTACTTAGGACTTGAAACCCAGAATATTATCATCTCTGCTGCATTCTCTTAAGCAAGTAAGTCCTTAAGGCCAGTAGTGACATAGGAGAAGAGAAGATGAACATTTGTCCATAGTAAGGGAAAAAACTGTAATTATGTTCACGTGCTGTTTAGCAAACTAAATTTTTTTTTTTTTAGAGGTTTCTATTCATAATAATACCTGCAAGAGTTGGAATAATAATAGCAGGGAATTTATGAAGAACTTTTTTTTTTTTAATCTTAAATTTTATTTTTATATTCCCCCATACAATTGCAAACGCCCCATTCTGACCCCAATCCTTCCCCTCCCGCCCCCCCCCCCAAAAGTGTCTCTGGTTCATAGTTTTTTGTTGATTTTGATTTTCACTTTCTTATATTCATTTTCCTGGTCCCTTATTTAAGTTTTCTAGATTCCTGCTATGAGTGCATTCAAAAAAGATAAACACATGCAATTTGCAGCAACATGGATGGCGCTGGAAGGGATCATGCTCAGCGAAATAAGCCAAAAAGAAAAAGAAAAATACCGGATGGTAGCAAACTAAAATTGATGACCTCTGACTTTATTGGCACAATGCTAAACTCAGTACAGTTGTACTATTTTAAAACTTCAAGGATCATAGATTACATTATTAGCATATTAATTGTTCTTTATCCCACCCTACATTTTTATCTACCCAGTGACCAATAGAAAACATTTGTATTTTGGTCATTTTTATTTATTTTAATTTTGGGATCACATTTTACTCCCCCTTATATGTACATGTTCCACTCACACTCCACTGAACCACTCATTCTATGCACGTCCCTCCCCCATTTTCTCTTCCCTCTCCCTTGTGCCCTCTGGTGACCAGTACATTTTCCCAATAAGTCCAAGATCAGTGCTTGCTGTATTTTGCCAGTGTATGGCTTTATTTGTTATTGTTATTTATATTTCACAAGTGAGTAAAACCATCTAATATCTGTCTTTCACTTCAGAATCTTCCTTTGAGCAAATTTTAATTTTTTTAATACTTAGGTGAAAATGTGGCCCCAACCTCTGTTTTGCTCCAATGCAGGTGAAGTCCTGGTTATTAACAGATAGATTAGATATAGTCATTGTACCAAGATCTAGAGAAATATCGCACAGTTTTTCATTAGTTTTTATTCCTTAACTGTGAAAAGCATTGAACTAATAAGATGTATTTTCAAGTAAATTTTATTTAAAACATACTGAAGTTGACCCAGTAGCACACTTTAACTCAACATACTGTTAGCTGTTGTGTATGATATATTGCTTATATTTTGCAGATGACTCAAGAGTAAAAGGATCTCAAGTAACATCAGAAAAGCAAAATACATCACAAATTAGCTAAGATTATTTTTCTCTTTTAATATTTTCATAGGACTTGTTTCTAAATATAATTTAATTTTCCTGAAGCGGGCGGAAAAATTATTTGGATTAATTGATTCATTAAAAGTACATATTTATTTTTCATTAATTACACACTAAATCTTTACTGGCCACTAAGTTTCTTTATTGTTTATTTACAAATCAAATAGCAGTGTCACTTATTGCCCAATAGTAAGGAGCTGGGTGGAAAATTCTATAAGATTATGGCATCCCTGACAACTCCCATTTTTATCCAGTTTGCTGCTAAATAAAGTCATGGTTAGATACATAAATAGGCAAAGCTGAGAGCAAAGTAACCTTTGAAGAGGCCCATTCGAGATTCAGAACTCCATGGTTCTCAGAGAGATAGTTGTGGAATTAGAGTAATTTTTTAATAGTGTGGAATCAGAGTGATTTTAACTTTGTGGAATTAGAGTGATTTTTTAATATTTTTCTTATACACCAGGATGAGTGCTGCTGTACTTAGACCTAAAGAGAACCACTAGGCGTGAAGTTCTCTTTAGTTGCTTCAGCCATAAAGTTGCTCATACCTTGTCAGTTTTTTGTGGATCCAAACTGAGAGACAAATATACCTCTCTCCTTATGTTTATCTTAAATTGGAATCATCCCTAGAGTCAGGAGTAGGCAAAGAGAAATAACAATGCTTCTGAGCAGGGGCTGCAGCACCCAGAGGAGAATCAAGCATTATTTCCAATAACTGTAGGTACCTACTGGTGAGCAAGAACTTTTGTCATAGACAACACATTTAATAATAAAAATATGACCACATTCAGAGATTTGGTTATGGCATAGAAGACTTTTTGATTCTAAAATATTGTAATTTTTCAGTTAAAGAGGCCAGTAAATGAACAATAAGTAAAGATAATACTGTTGAGAACTGAATTAGTAACTGGTGTTGACATGGAAGAAATTCCTCAGAACATAAAATACAAAAATTGGAAACCATGAAGATAAAAGATATGCAGTTGAAATAATGTAGAGACAGCAGACAAAGCATGTAGGATTTCTAGGGAAAAAAAGAAACAGATGGAGGAGAGAGAACAGTTAAAGAAATAGTTTAAGCTTCTCTGGATTAAAGATGACTTGAATCTGCAGTTTGAATGAATTGCCAACTACCAGTCAGAATTATGGATATAAGTGATTAAAATCCTTGTATTTTAAAAATACAGGGAAGCTTCTACAACAAAACAAAAAATTATGAAGGAGAAGAAATGAGTAGCACTTTTCATCTGTGTAACTCTAGAAAATAACTACAGCCTGCTTTCAGAAAAGCATTACAATCCAATAATCTTTTATCTGGTAAATATATTTTTCTTACTGATAAGTTAACTTATTTTGCAGATAATGCAAGAATGAATTTAGTATCCTCCATGTAAATACCCTTGTAAGATTTTCTAAACAAGTACTGTGTAAATCATAACTGGGTACAAAGAGAAAACAGCGGTGAGGAATGATTATTACATTATGTATGACTAAATTTAAATGATGTGTATTTGTTTTCTGTTGCTTTGTACCGAGTTACTACTAATTTATGGATTTGAACAACAAACATTTATTATCCCATGGTTTTCATTGGTCAGGAACTCAGACAAAAGTTAGCTGGGTCCTGTGTTCTGGGGATATCACAAGCTGCAATCAAAAGTGTCAGCTTGGACTGTGATCGCATTTGAGGCTCCAGATCCTCTTCATGTGATTAAGGGAAGAAAAGGAATAATCATTGATCAAACCAATAAAAGTTAGGAGAAAGAAAAATCATTAATATAAGATAATTAAGAAATATAAAGTAAAATGGAAGAACTAAAAGGAAGCATATTGTTACACTATGTGTATTAAGTTCCTTTAATATGATAGAAACTATCAGATTTGGTTAAATAATACAAATCAAACTACATATTTATACTATGCTCTTAAAACAAGTTTTTAAATGAAAGATCATCAAAGAATTAAGTAGGTATACCAGAAGAAAATAGTAGTGTAATTTAAGTATTAAACAAGGTAGAAATTTTTCCCCAACCCGCCCCCAAGCAAAGTAGAATTTAAGATTAAAATAAAAGTGTAGGGCCTCCCCAGTGGTGCAGCGGTTGAGCACTGGGCTGCGAAGCTGCCTGCAGCCTCTGCAGCACCTGTTCCATCCCTTGCCACTGGCGAGGGTCCCACATGGTGCAACAGACCTCTCCTGCCGTGCCCGCTGCTCCCTTCAGCAGCATACTTCGTCAATCTGCCTGTTCTGCTCCCCGCTCTGGCTCTGGTGAATTCTCTCACACTCCTGAACTTCTGACTGTACCCAGTGTGCGTATAAATAAATAAATAAATCTTTAAAAATAATAATAAAATAAAATGAAAATGTAGGATAAAGAAAGGACATGTAATGGTAAAGTGAACAATTTATGAAGATGTAAAAAATGTGCAAAACAACCTAGCAGCTAAATAAGAGAATGTAAGGAGATTTTTTTTTTTTTATTTAGATAATACAGTTAGACTGGGAGGTTTTATTTTATGTGTGTGTGTGTTGTGTCACTTCAAAAAAAATTTTTTTTATCTTTTTTTTTTCCTCCTTTCTGTTGGTTGGAGAGTGCCGACTTTGTGGGTGTGGGTGGGTAGCAGGGTTCTGAACTTTCCTCCCTTCTAGACCTCTTTTATGGCAACTTTCTTCTTTGGGCAGTTTGCCAGAGTCGCCCATTTATCTTCCATGTCCCAGTTCTCTCAGGGACCTGCTGTTTTTCCTCCCTATTAACTTTTTTTTTATGGGAGGTCTTACTGGCAGCGTTTCCTCGCCACCATGTTGATGACGTCTCAAGACTCTTTGTTGTTCATTTTCAAACAACATTTGCTTCCACCATCACCTCAGTCCCCTGTTCTCCTCCCTCCCTCCTTCTGATCCCTCTCCCTCCTCCTCCCCTACAGTATGTCTCTGATTTATAATTGTCTGTTTTTGCTTTGTTGTGTTTTGTGCTGTTATTATTTTTTTACACCGATGTCTTATTTGGTTCCCTTATATTCCTGCTATAAGTGAAACCATCAATATTTTTCTTTTTCTTTCTGGCTTATTTCACTGACCATAATTCCTTCTAGCTCCATCCATGTTACTGCAAATGACATGAGTTTATTTTTTTTGGTTGCTGAATAATATTCCATTGTGTATATGTACCACATCTTCTTGATCCATAGACTGGAATGTTTTAAAAACACATTTTCAGAATTAGACATCTCTTGCAAATAAAAAAATAGATAAGAACATAAGAATTTAATTAGATAGCCAACAGACTCAACTGGTATGTAGAACTTTGTGTTATTGTGATACAGTGAGTGGGTTATGTGTATGTATACACATGGACACATGTATACATAACCTTTTAAATTACAAATAAACTCTTGTGGAGTACCTAGATGGTTTTCAGTTTGATTTTTGTTTTCTGTTTCTATTCGAAGCACTACTACTGAGAATGTGTTATTGTACCTATCTATGGCTTTGCCCATTTTTTGTGTACATTTTTGCAAATTCATTTTTTCAAAATGAAATTTCTGAGTCAAAGAGTTTAACAGGTATTATCAAATTGTCTGCAATCAGTTTCAATTTCTACCTATGGTATATGACAGTACCTGTGTGCCTTTAACATCATTAATCCTGGGTATCATTGAGTTTTCAAGTCTTTTCCAAACTAGCAGCCTATTTGTTGTTGACATTTCCTTACATATTAGCATAAATGTTTTAAAATGGTTTTAGTGTTTTGTCTAGAAGTATTAGCATTTAGGAGGTAATATAATCTTTTCAATGCAAAGCATCATCCAACTAAACATTTATATATATACATTTTTTGTCTCTTATATTTTTACAGTATTGCCATCCAACACACCAAATGTTTGCAGGACCAAGA